TCCCCTCTGTCCTTCCTTTCCATGTTGTGGGAGTAATGCTACTGACTCTAAAATTTTCATAAAATTGCTCACTGTCTTTCCCGAGACACCCACGGCAATGATTAACCCAGCATGAGTGTTGCATTGCCAAATACCCTGATGAGATGTATACAAAACTTTTAAAATAACTCCCTTCCTCTTCTCCAAACAAGGCTCCCATTAGGCAAAGAAGAGCCTAGAAAGTTGCCATACAACAGTATGGCACTATACTATGATATAAACAGCTGCTGGAGGATGGTGACTCACTAAAGATCTCTAGGACACAAGTTAAAAGAAATTACTTGCCTAGGACTTTGAGAAAGAACAAAATCCAGAGTCCTGCTCTAGCTGTTATTTGGTGGCAAGCTCACTAGGCATAAGTGAACCTGGGATTTGGGTTAACCAATTGACTTGGTTTAATTGGAACTGTTTTGGTTTTAGCACTTGAAAGTCCCCCTCAGTCCTGAGCAAACCAGTACCTGGAATCAAGCTATAGCTTTGCCATTTAGAATAAGCTATGTGAACTTGGACAGGTCGTGTGGCCTCCTAAGGCCTGATTCCTCTTTTATAAGGTGGAAATAACAATATCTTCCTAACTATATTGCAAGAATCAAATGCACTATTGTACATAAACAGGCTTTGTGTCTTGTGAGGTACTATATCAATGTCAGCAAATGCAATTGTTGATGATATTGTTTCTTTGGGCCACAAAGGAGAATTCTACAATGGAAGTGGTTATATAAAGCTATATCCTGAAGATTTCTCCAAAGCACCAGTGCACATGATTCCAAAATCAATTGTCTGAGTTGGCAGAGAGATTTAAAAGAGGTTTGAGTGTAGGGGGAAAAATGAGGTATCACAAAGATTCATAACATGAGATTCTGATGACTCTTATTTCTCCTTAATATTTGCAGTGGCTCTAGCTACAAGTGCCCACCCAAACCTTTTCATGTGGCATAGCCTAGTCTGGTTTTACTATCAGACAAAGAACCCGTGTTTGTTTGTTCGTTTGTTTTAAATTTTATTTTATTAGTTTCAATTATATACTACATTGTTTAGACATTTATATAGTTTATAAAATGATCCCCCTAATTGCTTTTGCTTTCCTCTGGCTCTCCACCTAGCCATTACATTAATGCCAACTGCATTCCCTATGCAATGCTCCCCATCTCCATGACCATCTACAGACTACTAATTTGTATTTCTTTAACCCTTCACCCCATTTTCCCAGTTTCCCAATTCCTCTCCCATCTGGCTGTCACCAGATTGTCCTCTATATTTGTGAGTATGTTTTTGATTAGTTCATTCTTTTTTGTTCCTCAGATTCCACATATAAGTGAAATCATATGAAACCTGCCATTTTTTTACATGTAAAATGTAGAATCAATGATTTCCCAACTTCCTTTCAGCTATAAAAGCCACATCATGCCAATGCATTTCAGGCATTAGCCACCAAGGGAGATAGAGATGGTTTCCCAAACACAGTCCCTCTTAGGCCTTTTATAGTAGCCTTTTTTTTTTTTTTTTTTTTTTACTTCATCACCTATTTCTTTCATTTATTTACCACACTGTTTAATCACTTTTGTATATTTATTTGCTTTTGTTTCCTTGTTTGCCCTAGGATATGAAGTTTTATGAAGGATGTAGAATTTGCCTATCTTGTTGACTTGTTACCATCTGTCACATCCAACATGGGAAATGCCTGGCTAATATATGTGAAATGAATGAGTAGACTGGACATTCATGGTTAACTTTTATTGATCACAAGTCACATGAGCGTTATAGTTTTGAATGAATAAATAAATAATGGAAAAATTAAATGATCTAAATGTGAATAAAAATAACATAAACTTCACATACATGATATTTCAATTTTTTTCAAAATCAGTCTTTTTTAGAGTTCATCATAAGGACTGCAAAAGATCCGAACTGTAGAGTTCTTAGATACTTTTACTGTAAGGATCTTGCAGACTTTTAGATATGAGGCCAGTGGGTTATGGTTCAAACAAGAGATTGCTTATTGGAAATTTGTAGTAATCTGAAATACTTATTGAATGTTTACTTCAACTATTAAGTGGCACTTACCCCCAAATTCTTCTTTCCCTTCATACTCCAGGTTGTTAAGATGGCCTAAAGTAAAAAATAGTAATTAATTCAGTGTATGAATGTGGTGTATTCCAGTTCTTTTATGACAGTAAATTGACTGCCCACTATGACTCTCCTCTCCTTTCCTCCTTTCCACCCCAATTCAACCACAAGATGCCACCTGGCATTAAATCTAGAGGAGCAACAGGGCAACCACCAGCAGGGTGAGGAAGAGAAGAAAGGGTATGTATAACTCCCAAATTAGGTCTGCTTCTTCTGTATGTCATCTGTTAAACTGAAACAGCTGATCCTTGATTTAAAGATAATTCCTTTATTATTACACTGAACGGAGCCTGTAAATCTCTATTATAAGCTGATAAGCACTGAAGAAAATAGTGTATGCTCAATGCACCAACAGTTTACATTTTCCTAGCTTCATTCTTCCCCATGGTCTGAAACACTGATAAAAAATATTGGCATTTTTCAGAGAGGCTTATAAGCAATAAACAATCCAAGTTTTGTTGTCTATTAAATATGTCTCGAGTTATAGTTCCAATTGGAAATCAGGCTCGATTTTGGTAATCTACCAAGTAGTATGTTTTGGTGCCAGTTGAGCATTGTCCTCAAGGTCTGTGTTCTTTTAAGCTTCTTGTATGCATCCAACTCCAACAGGTTAACCTTCTCAGAGAGGAAATTGGATGCAAAAAGAACAAAAGTTGCAAAAGCCCCTGTATGCCCCATGACGGCTATTTACACAGCTGTAATCAGTATAAATAAATGACTTTATAAATTTCAACAAATGAAATCATGTTATTTTATTTTGTCTGCTTCGTTTCTTCTTTGTGCCGCCAAGTCACCAGCGTGTCATTTATTTTGGCTTATTTTTGTTAAAATGAGATTTAAAGAAGGGCCCAATTATAGCAACTGAGAGCACTCCTCCCCCCTACCCCAATCTTTCCTTTTTCTGTCAGAGGAAAAAATAGCCCAAAATAAGAATAGTTAACTGACTGACATAAGAACAGCGATGTATTAAATTCTTGGAGGACATTTCTTTTTCTTTTTTTCTTCTCTCTCTCTCTCTCTCTCTCGGTCAGGTATATTGAGGTCTCTCTCTCTCTCTCTCTCTCTCTCTCTCGGTCAGGTACATTGAGATAAAAATTTCTATGTACTAAAATTCACACTTTTTAGGAGTACAATTTTGGAGTTTTACAGATAAGTCATCATATGACTACCATCACAATCATTATATAGACTATTCCCATCACCCTAGAGCCCTGTATTTCTTTGTGATCGACTCCCCTTTTTAATATTGCTATATTTTCTGTCTCTATAGTTTTGCCTTTTCCAGCATATTATATAAGTGGAATCATACATTATGTAGCCTTTTGATTCTGACTTTTTTCACTTAGATTGATGTTTTGGAGATTCATCCGTGTCGATGCATGTTGGTTACTTGCATTGCAAAATGTTCTGAACTAGAAGCTAGGTCAAGTCACAATATATATAGCAGACCTAGTTCAGCTAGACAGAGCATATACCATTCATTTATTTATTTACTTACGTGAATATTTACTAAAAGCCTACTGTGTGCCAACTGTTCTGTCTGGTGCTGAAATATAGCAGCAAGAATGGTGAACTGTGAAGAAACAAAGATTTGCCTTGTGTTTGGATCAGAAGCTGTTAGAGGAATCATCAATACAAATTTGGTAAATGCAATTGCTGAAAGACAAACTAAATTGCTTTCTCTCTTACCGGAATTTTTATATATTATATAAAGCTGTTCTGTTTAGTATGTAGCAAGTAGCCACATGGAGTACTTTAAATTTAAAGGAATTAAATTAAATAAAAGCTCTAATTCGATTCGTCACTCTTTCTAGTCTCCTTTTAAGTATTCAGTAGTCATGTGTGTCTAATGGCTACTGTCTTGGAAAGCACAAAAAATTCTACTGAGCAACCCTGATATTGAAGATGGAATGAAAAAAACAAAACAAAACAAAACAAGTAATGACTTCATTTATAACTTAATAATTAATATCAGGTACAATTTATGAGCTAACACTATTTCCTACAATAGACACATTTAAGGAGATAAGATATTTTCTAAATCAGGTTTTTCAAGCTTTGAAGTCACAAAAGACAGACTGCAGTTAATTTAAAAAGTTGTTACCTTATGTGTCCTCATTTTACTTTATATTGAATGTTAGAAAAGATAGTGAGCCAATGCAAAACTAATAATAAGGATTATGGCAGGAATTGCTGACTCTTCACCAAAATCCATTCCCTTCTTTTTATTTTTCCTTCTGCAGTAATAGAATGCTACTAGGTTGACCAGATACACTGCAGCATCCACCCTCATTTGTAGCTGGGTGTGGTGACTTGGTTCTCACCAGTGCAATGTGAACAAAAGTGACATCACTACTGAACATACACTTTAAATGGGCTGATGTGTTTCCTTCACATGCTGCTGCAAACCAGCTTCTGTACCGTAGCTTTCAACATGCAGAAAAGAACACCACTTTAAGTAGGGCATAATGGAACAATATGAGATGATGCTCAAGTCTGTACGATTGTGTGGAGTCGAGTGGCCCAATAACCTGGAACCCAACTGACACATAAAAGAGAAATAAACTGGTACCTTATTTGACCCATTACATTTTGAAGTCTGTTTGTTACAGCAGCTAATGTTGCCCTATCTTATATATAAGAGCAGATACAGGCTTAATTTTGCTCAGAAATATATTTTTTTCAGCCTCAGATATCAGAAAAAAACATATTGTCATAAGAAAAAATTTATAGCACTTTCCTTGAATAAACACTACTTTTATCCACAATGAAATTGCTTCCCATCTTTGAAAATCTCTTATTGTAGGTTGGATTCCTTAGAAGCAGAGCCTGAGTCGAGGATCCTCTTGCATCTATTGAACAAAGACTCTAAGAAAAACCTGCAAAGCAGTGAGGAGAGCAGGATGAGAAAGGGGAAAGAGCCAAGAAAAGATGTGGATTCAGCTGGAAACTAGCTGCAGCTATATTCCACTTAGAGCTCTAGAGTATAAATCTCACTGCAGTTTTTCCTGCTTGAGGCAGGGGTAAGTATTTTGAATCTCCATATTACTCAGTCATTGGTTGGTGGAACCTCCTAGACTGTTCATCCAATAAAAGTCCAATCCTCTGGAGAAGAAGGAAGCTGTAAACTGATAGCATCTAACACTCTGGTACCTGGGACTGGGTGCACCAGTCCAGTTAGGGCACCTGTGCAGCACAGTTCCAGTGTTCACTATAAGCTCCTTATCCTTAAATGTGCGGATATGTAATCTATGGTTTCACATTAGACAAGACTGATGGAAAGATTCTCTTCCCAAAGGGAATCCTATGTTTTTTATGAATCCAAATACAATCCCTAATTTTGTAAATTCTTTCATAAGAAGATGGACAGTCAGAAAGTTAAATTTTGGAAAAAAAAAAAAAACGCAAAAGCTAGAACAGTTGTCTGTCTAAGAAGGTGTGAGAAAACAATAGAAGGTAAGAATCCCTGAAGATGGAACAGACAGTTGTCTCTGATGTGAGCAAGTGACACGAGAGACGATAGTGTGTGATAGTACAGAGCCTGAATTTTGGAGCTAGCTGGGCTCTGCTTGAATCCAGATTCTGTCACTTACATACTGTGTGACACTGAGCAAGTAACTTGACCTCTTGTGTGTGCCTCAGTTTCTTCCTCTGTAAAATAGGGAAAATGGTGGACAATAATAGCTACAGGCTGTTGAGTGGATTAAATACTCAATGTATGCAAAGTTCTTTGAATGCTTCCTGGAACACAAAGAGTGCTACATAAGGGTGACTCTGTTGGGGAAGCTAGGTCTTGAAATGAGAGTACCAGGCACAGAATAGGAGAGGGCAATGGTTAAAAAAGCCCTTGACCTCTGTATTACCTTGAACAAATTACTTAAATTCTTTATGCTTCAGTTTTCTCATGTATAAACTGGGAATAATGATAGCACTTTTCTTGTAGAAATGTGGTAAAAATTAAATGAAATAATCATTGTAAAATCCTTAAAACAGTACATTGTACATAGTACACTTTAAATGTTGTTACTGTGCCATTATTATTTCACAAGGAAAGGCAGGGGGACTTTTTCAAAGAAAGGAGATAACTTCATTGGGGCATGTTCATTGCTTGTATACAGTGGTTTTATGAGGCGAGTATGAGGCTGGAAAGGTAAGTAGAAGCTGAACTGGAAATTCCTTCTGTGCAAAGGTAAGGTGCTTTGACTTGGTTCTGTAGGTACTTTAAACTCATTGAATGTTATAAACATTGTCTTAAGTTTTTTTTCAGAGTAAGGACATATACTAGTTAACTATTGTTGCATAACAAATGATCCCATAACTCAGTGTCTTAAGACAAATACTATTCATTTAGCTCATGATTATGTAGGTTGGCAGCTTGCACTGGGATTAGCTGAGAGATTCTTCAGGTCTCGGATAGGCTCCTTTAGGCTCTTGCATGATTCTTCATTTGTCCCCTGGTCCTGTCTAGTCAGCTCTGGTTCAGGCAGCTGGTTGGGTGTGGTGTGGGGCACCTTGGTTCTCTTCTTCATAGTCTTCAAGGATAGCCCCAGCTTGTTCTCATCGCCGAGGCAGAGTTCCAATAGATAGAACAAAGGGCTCTTGAGGCCTAGTCTCTAAACTACATAAAATCACTTCTGGTAAATTTTTTTGGCCAAAGCAAATGACTAGTAAAACCCAGAGTCAAAGAGGGTGAGTATTACAAAGTCATAGGGGAGTGAGAATGGATATAGGAACACCATTAATTGGGGCCATCAGTGAAAAAATCTAGCAAATTCTCCAAGAATCAACTTTTTAATTCATGAGAAGCAACAGAGGCAGCAACTACATCTTTGCTACCTCCATTAAAAGGATCGACTTTTGTAAGGTCCTGGGAGGGGATGTTTTTATACATTCCAAAGAGGTGAGTCACCTTGGTCTTGCTGTTTCTCCTCTTATGCCCTTAGGCTCTCTCTTCTATACATTTCAAAGATTGGAAGTTAATGCCAGGAGAAGATCTGACTGGGAAGAAACCTGCATCATTGTAGAGGCCTCACAATTCCACATAAGATTATAAAAGAGGTAAACAGTACTGAAGCCATGAGAATTTATTATTGAAAAAGAAGTAAAATTTTAATATATAAAAGCAGAATGTTTGGGAAAGAAATTTAGCTCCATTCTATTCCTTTATCTCTTTATTCAGAAAAGTAGAAAATTCATATAATCTCCCAATTTACATAACTAGAGATAAACTAAATAATATTGACTAAATGTCATATATTTGATAAAGGAAAGTACAGTCATAGTACTTGAACTCTACATTAAGCCATATTTTTGATATGATTTTTTGATATAATTTATATGCATTGTTAATTTTCATGTAACCACTTGACGTGTAATCAACAATATATATTATTGAGGACCACCGGTCTGTAAGAAAAGAATGAATTGAGGATGATAGAATTTACTCACTGGTCACATGGAGGTTTTCCTGTCATTGGCTTGCTGATTTTAGTACATTGACTAAAATTGCCTATGTCCTCAGTAAGAAGTCATTCCTTCATAATTCAATCATTTAAAATAAATCAGTTTAATGTTATCTTTAAAGAAAAAGAAGAATGTAAAATTTACAGGGAAAAAGTATAACAATTTTTCCTTTGAACGCCTTGTGTTGATGTGTGAATTGAACAGAACTGGGCTATGTTTGGGCTGCCCCAGAAGCTGATTGTGTTGCCCCACAAGCTGACCCTGAGATAAGGGTCCGAGAGCAAGTAATTTATCGAGGAAGGGAGCCCAGGAAACATTGGTAGGGAAGTGAGACACCGGCGGGGTGGGGGGGAGAACAGCGAATAGGGGGTGTAGTATCAAACTGGTTACCTTTGTGGGCACCTGGGCTTAATCCCCCAGGGGAAGCCTGGGAGGCAGGGTAGACCACCTGCTTCAGAGATGTTCCACCTGAGAGGTGAGGGAGCTGAGACATTTATACACTCACTACTATCATCTGTGGCTGAGGGCTGCTCCTAGGAGGTGTTACTTGCCTGGCATATCCAGCCAGCCTGTGTGGTGAGCAGGCTCCTGCAAGCAAAGAAAATCATTAGGCAAAGACATGCAAGTGATGTGCATAGAAATAAGTGCTGAGGAAAAATGGATTGTGACTCTCGGCGTCTATTCCAGACTAAATCCTGGCTTTCAAACCTTTTTAAAAATTTTAACTAGCCACTCAAATACTTTTATGGAATACAAAATAGTATGTAAAACTGATAAAAAATGCAACTACTTTAATTTCTATGATGGTATGTGCTTGTGTCCAGTGTTCTATCTTTCTCCATGGCTCTGAAAACCAACTCTGAGGAATGCAAGGGCTCCTCAGGAAACAGTTTGAAAACACATGATTTAGATCTTTAGGGACATTTCCAGTTCTAGGACCCTGGTTGACATCTTTGCATAAAGATACCTTTCGCTAATATCTTCTCTCCTCTTAAAACCAAGAGCAATACAAAAAGGCCTTCAAAACCTCATTTTAAAAAGTTCAATTGAATTTCATGGTGATAAGAGCCACCCCCCCACCCCCCCACCCCCTGCCCAAAATAAAGACTCAAGGGAGGAAAACAACAAAATATCAAAATGTAACAAAACAACTAATTGTATGCCTATTTAAAACCCACAGAGACTATCCAGAATTGGGTAGCCATAGTAACACACCCAGAAACATCCTGTGGGTGTGACTGCAAGCTGGATGAGGAGGAATGGGGGTGTGGAGGGCAGGGGTCTGCTGGGCAGGGCACTCTCTCTGCACAGATTCACCACTGAGACTGGAAAGGAACAGCCTTAACAGAAGCTGTGAATCTCCTCAACGCACATAGAGGTTTATCTATATTTTTGGCAACTTCCTTTTGGAATCAAAAGTTGGCTTCTTCAGAGAGAACTTAAATGGAAGCATATTTTTAAAAAAAATCTTTGATAAAATTCACACTATGGGGGGAAAAAAAACAGAAGACCAAATGGAAACTGTGGGCGGTAGCTGTGATTGTGCCTTTTCAAGCAGTTCCTTAGATACCGCTCTGAGTTCGGGCTTGTATTGTGTTGATATTCACATTAAGTGACTGAAACTACAAGGGAGCCCATGAGGTATTGTAGTAAAAGCTCTCAGTGCCTGCCCTGTACACCTCTGTTTAGACCCTCCACCAGCTGTTGTGAATGTTAAAGTTAATGACTCTCAGCTGCTTCATATCCACAGCACTGCCCTTGGCCAACTGGCACTGCCTCTTCAAAAAAATACTGGGGAAGCTGTATCTTCCCTACAGCCCCAAACAATGACTGATTAATACTGGGGTATAAAATCTTGGTCCCTTGTCTCAATTTAAGACATAGCTATGGTACCATTCAAGCTTCTTGATGGGATCAGCCTTAACCCAGACCCCAGAATACATCATTTCCTTGCTCACCTTATTCCTTTGTTCTGTTTCCCTCACTTCCTTGAAGGTTTCTTCTGAGATCACCTTCTCAATAAAACACTTGCAAAATAATAACACTTTTCAGGATCAGCTTTTAGGAAACCTATCCTGAAACAGGCATCATGAGAATAGCCTTGAAATAAGCATGAGCCCATCTGCCTTCAAGTCCTGATCCAGCGCTAGCAAGCTGCAAGGCCAAGAGCAAATTTCTTGACCTCTCAGGGACACAAATACACAGGGTAAAGTTTGACTAGATCACTGTTTTTGTTTGTTTTATCTCAGCCCACATCCTTGCCTAGCTTCTTTCCAGCCATATTCTGCTTTTCTTTCTCTCTTATAGGTTTTCCCTGAAGCCAATACATCAATACATCGCTTGCAAGAACCCCAACAGGCGGCTCTATACATGGGGAGTCCGACCTAAGACATATGATAATAGTTGGAGGGAAAAATGCGTCTTTTGCAGCCCAATGGGAGCCACCAAAATCTACGAAGAATTGGCATCCATCTTCCATCCTCCAACCAGCAGGAGTCTCCTTTCATTAGATCTACACATTGGATTTTCACAAAATTCCTGGTAAATGACAGCTCTTAGATACAAATGTCTGAAAGCTGTTGGACCAGAAGATCTCTAATGTTGGGTCTAGCTTGACAGTTCTGGAAAGACTTTCTCTACTACTCACTGAATAATAGTGCTCTGGATTTATTGGGATTGGGGAATAAATGCAGCCAGGCTAGGTATTAAAGAATATATGGCTAGAAGTAGCCTTGGGCATCACTGAGAAAATTTTCAGATTATTTCAAATAGAAGCGTTATTTTCATCCTTTAGATTTTCAGTCTGCCCCCTTTGGTTGCTTGCCTCCCTGAAAATCTCAGAACTTTTATACCAGGGTAGATGCTGTTGTTGCTCTGCCTAGATACTCTTTTATTGGACTTGGGTATCCATCCTTCAGTTGTCCTAAGCTAATGGGAGCCACCTCACCTAGAGATGCCTGGGAGTTTATCCCCCAGTATCCATGTTCCACCTATTCCAGGTAAGAGGTTGTCATGGCCAATGGCTAAATCATGCTGGGAATTTAAAGTGTACCCTTTCGCTTCCAGCTGAAACCAATCTGTAATTTAATTCACACTCCAGATCTTCTCATGGGATCAGACTGAAGCTAGACTCTAGCTGAGACCACGATGTTGCTCAGCCCCTTTTCCTGCTCCATCTTGCTTCTCTCACTCCCTTACTGTTTTCTCTTGACAGCACACCCTAAAAAAATTATTGGCAAAACAACTCCTCAGTAAGGCTTTGCTGCTGGAAAACTTGGCGTCCTAATAGTTCAGGTATCTGAGGGCCACAAAAGGTGAGATTTGGCTGGGGACCAAACACCAATTGATAAAAATGAGGTCCAAAGGAAGCAATTTAGGGGTCCTTGATTCAGAAAAGCTTGTATGTCATACCCTTTTCAAATTTCCCAAATAGCTCTTCAATGTGTGAAAATAAATAAGAAAAAGAAAATTTTCTTATTAGTGTGTTTTCTTATTCAAGAAATCAGAGGATTTTTTTTCTTATAGCTGTATCTTCAGTGTTCATAACAGTTTGTAACTTATTAAATGTATTTCAAGAAATATTCCAAAATATATTGTTGGTAGACATTCATATTTCTGAATGCATTTGGAATACAATGAAGACATAAAAAATGGCAGGCTTAAGGGACAAGATAGAAGATAAACCTACTTTTAGGTTTATTAACTTTGCTTCTTTTCACTGAAGGAGAGCAAGTCTTATTAAATTCTAATTATTTTCCCATTCTTTTGCATTCTGATTGTTATGTTCTTTTAGTATGCTTCTTTTAGAGAAATTAACTGTGTTCAGAATTGTGTATTCAATATCCATCATATGTGAGCTTTAAGCTACAATTTCTGTAGACTACGCTATTACTCAATTCTAAATGCCATTTTAAAAGCCAGTTTTGACATTTATTCAAACCATCTGAGGTCTCTAGTCCTCTGGGGAGACTGTGTGTGGTGCTGAATAACTAATATGAATTCCTCAAGCCTTCCAATGGTTTATGGAGCAGGATGTGATATCAGGATCTTTGAGATGTTCAGTGGAGTTAAATCTGGCATTACCTTTGCAGATATCTTTCTTTGTTGAGAACCAAGTAAAAACATTTCTTGATGGATAGAGAGAGAAATGAAAGAAATTTTGGGGAAATTTGGCCCCTTTTCACCCCCAGGATATCTTTATTTTAATTTTCTTTCTATTACTTAAGTAATTACCTTTTGTAGGGGAATGCAGAACAGAAATTGGGGTGAGGTACTCACCTGAAGCACAAAATTTAAGCGGGTGCCAAAAAATATTTTAATGCATTATTTTTATTGTGGTGAAAACATATATAATTTATCATTTTAACACCACTGAATAACAACACCCCTTCTCCTCCTATCCCCAGTCCCTGTTAACCAAAATTCTACTTTCTGTTTCTATGAATTTGACTACTTTAGATATGTAAGTGGAATCACGCAGTGTTTGTCCTTTTATAACTAGCTTATTTAGCGTAGTGTCCTCACAGCTCATCCATGTTGTATGTAGTATATGCCAGAATTTCCTTATTTTTTTAAGGCTGAATAATATTCCATTGTATGTGTATACCATATTTCCTTTATCCATTCATCCATTGATAAATATTTGGATTGCTTCTACCTCTTGGCTATTGTGAATAGAATTACTAATATTATGTTATGTGTCGATTATACCATAATTTCTTTATTTTTTTTTCTTTTTGCTCTTCTAACTCGATTTTAAATGACTGGTCTTCAACTTTGCCGATTCTTCTGCATTTTTAAGGTAAAATTCTAAGAGACTACTGATTTGTTATAGAGAATGAAGAAGAAAAGTTATGTGTGACTTAGTGAGTTGTTACTATTTGCGACTCATAGGCTAAGATAGTCTTAACTTGAAGCTAGAACAAATTTAATCATCATGTTTAAAGCAATTGTGATAACAGGCTAGTGTTCAAAGGTAGGGAAGGTAGAAGAAAAAGATGCATTAACTGAAATAGCAGAAGTACACTTTGTCTTGCTTAATGTGTATTGACAGCCTATCGTCAATAGATAAGCAGGAACGAAACGAAATATCAGGTAAAAAGTTAGAGACCCAATGTGTGGGTTATTCAATGCACTCCTGAAGTTAATGTAGATTTTTTTTGTCTGTACTTTTTCACTCAAAAGTAAGAATTTAAATTTTGAAACCAAAAGCATCTTCTCCTTTGCAAAAAGCATCTTCCATTTTGTAAGACAGTTTGGAGGCAGGTGGTAATTGAAGATTTAAAGAGCAAAATTTCAACTCTGTTAAAAGCAATTGTGTGTTTAAATTATTCCTAAATAGGTAGATAAGACTGAATTTTCTGTCTCTAATCCTCTTCTATCCCTGAGGCCTCTAGGCTTCCTCTTTCTTGCTTCAGATCTCTTTATGTACACCTGCTCACCTTCATCTTTACACAAATACACTCTCAGAAAGATTCTTCCTTAGTAAGAATGTAAGCCATTGCTACCCCCTGCCTGGGGCCTTGCATTTAAATCTTATTTTGCTGCAAGAGTGAAAAGAATAAACAGGCTTTTTCCTTGTCAAATGGATTTCAGGCCTTTCTGAGGAGACTGCAAGTATTGAGTGAGGGTCCTACCTGAGAGCAGATAGGAGATGTTACACTATCTATCACCTTTGCTTCTGCAAAGGCTGACCTTGGTGGCGTTGATCATGCAGAAAGAACTATTTAAATGAAATAATATTTGATATTGAGATGATACCTCATAAATTGATGTGAAGAACATTTATAAAGAGGAAATGTAATTCTGTACCATTTCTGACGTTTGTATTCTAAATAGTCAGAGGAAAATGAGCAATGGGTATTTCCTAATCTCCCCTGGCTAGTTCAGTAGGAACGGAGACATGCAAAACTGGCATTCGCTCAAGTGGGGTTAATGGTTCTCCCTAAAGTAAAAAAAAGATACCTCAAAAACGTTTTATGAATATATTCCCTCCTTCCTTTATTCAACACATACTAATTGAACTTTTAATGTGTGTCAGGCATTGTTCCAGGCCCTTGATTTTCAGAAGAAAACAAAACTTCATAGATAACTGTGTCACCTGGGGATATCATGGGAGGAAGACATGTAGCTTTAGAAACGTGCTCTTTGATTTAAATTGTAGAGAATATGAAAAACTTCTGAAGACAATGGAGCTAAGTGTAGTAGGTTCTAAAACACTGTTTTATCTGTGTATCAATTAGAAATCTTGCTTAGCTGGCAATTGATTTTCCTAATAATGATGATTAAATAACACAAGAGTAAAAATGCTCTCTGGATCATGAAAGAAAATTAGGTTCTGTTTAACACAGAACCTGTGTTAAATGTATTTCTTAATTATTTGAAAGTCTGTGTGTCTCAATTAATCAGGCAACGTGATTAACTAAAGAAGGTTTTTTCTTGGCCTAGCATGATAACACTGAGTTTACTGCGACTTGATTGCTCAAAGCAAACAAGTCTGTAAAAATGTCCAGGAGTGAGAAAGAGGCAAATATATTTTAGTATTCATAGGTTGATGTAAAAGCCAATTGTATGAAAACCTGAGTCCAAAAAAGACCAGTCAGACTGGTGCTCAGCGGTTCAAATCAATTATGTTATTTAGTACAAAGCTACAGAACTGCATATACCAAAAACTTAGTTATCAGCTACCACACATTATCTCTGCCTGGATTTTATTTTTCTTCTGGTGAAATCGACAGAGACGATTCTTCAGGAGAGCCTCATCCGGAAAGAATGAGGTTTGGAGGAAGAGAGAAAACAGATTGGCATTGCTCCAGGCTGTCCAGAAATAACCAAGTAGAACATCTAACTCATTGGGTGGCAAGCCAATCAATGTCTTTTTCAGTTCAAAGTCCTAAAAATTATAAAACAAAAGCTATTCTGTGAGAGATGAGCCTTATGGGGACATACAAACAAAAAGTATTTGGGTTCAAATGGCCATGGCAATTTACTGATTGTTTTTTTGTCCCCAAACTGCAGCATATGCCTCTGAAGTCTTTGAAATGATACTATGTGGTATATCACTGTATAAAGGAAAAATTCTTAATAACTGAGTCATTGTGACAGGTTTCTTTATTAGTAGAGCAAAGAGAACACTTGAGACATAATAATGAGTTTTAGGCCCAATGCACTTGGGGTAGAAGAAGTTCATAGCCCTAACCACAGGGAAGAACACATTAGTGAGAGAATCTACTTTTAATCAGAACAATAAAAAAGGCTTCAGTTCAGAAAATCCAGAGTCGGGGGAGGGGAGAGCGGTAATCAAGCAGGAGAGAAAAAAGAATAGCCAATCTACCTCACAATAGAAACATAAAGCTCATTTTTAAAAAGTGCCAACATATTAAGGAGCTTGGATGCACTCCATCCTAACCATAAGTAAAAAAATAAACAAACTAAAAATCAACAACTCTTCTTAGATCTATCAGAAATTGAGGTCACAGGGCAAACCACTAAACCACTGCCCCCAAGACTGAAGAGACAAACAGACAGATATGGAAAATAGCAGAACATTAACTCATGAGCAAAAACCTTCTCAAGAGCCAGTACTAGGGTAAGAAAACCACAATTGTAATTAATAAATTGCTGGAGGCTCAGTGTAGATAAGCCTAAGAGTTAAAAACTGTAGTGACCTAGTCATAGTGGGGGGTTTTATTGAGTTTTATCTCCAGGAGTGCTCCCAGCTTCCCACAGAGAAGATGGGAGAAAAATCTCATGCTTCCAGCCAGAGCACTCTCTTCTTAATAAAGTCTTTTCCCAGGAGAAACTATTTTTATCAGAGCACCCATTTGATGGAGGTGGCATAGATCACATAGAACATAGAAGATGGCCAAGCTGGAGGGTTATCTGACTCACATCAAAATTTGTCTGAGAAAGCCAATGATTTTCAGGATTAATGTTTTGCTGCAGCATAACTTAACATACACTGGCTAAAATACGTGCTAATTACTACATTGTTTGGAAGTGATGGTCTGGGGTTTTGTTTTTGGAAAGACTATGAGGCTAAAGACAAGCTCAAGGAAAACAGTAGCAAGATCAGTTAGCCTATCTCCCATGAACAAGAGGAGGAGTATTTGCCAACTGTAAGATCCTAGCCTAGTGCTGCCCCATAGATCTTTTAGCAATGATGAAAATGTTCTATATCTGCATTGTCCAATATGGTAGCAACCAGCCATACGTGCTATTCAGTACTTGCAATGCAACCAATGCAAATAGGAAACTGAATTTTTAATTTTATATAATCTTAATTTAGCCTTGTGTGAGTAGAGGCTACCATATTGGACAGCACTACTGCAGTCCATACTCTATTTGCATACATATTGGGGACTTAAAGTGGCAAAACAAAGAACTTCTGGATCCTAAAGAGTATGTTTAATCAGTCCTTTAAAAAATTATTTAAAATTAAATATAACATGATTCTTTGTGAGCATGGCC